GAATTACATGTTTGAAAAGTACCGTAACATCTTTGCAATGCGTTTGATATTGTTCGCACTTGATGCACGAAAAGTTACTGTCAGAACAAGTTGCAATAGTTATCCTTTTTCTTAAATCCTGATTATTATTTTTCTGCAGGTAGGTCCCATGCCATGGTTGGGTCCTCAGACAGAAGATTCCATTAAGGGCCTCGCAAAGAAAGGGAAAAAGAACATCCTTCTGGTTCCCATCGCTTTCACCTCTGACCATATTGAGACACTTCATGAGCTGGATATAGAGTATGCAGAGGAGGTGGCACACGAGGTAATGTTCACTATTCTGGTGCCAAGGGTAAATAAAGTCTTTTGTTAAAGGGAGTACATTGTTCTTTTCGTTGCGGCACGAGTGGTAAAGCTTGGCATTTCAACGGGCGAGCGATTTGAGCGCGCAAGAGGTATGTAAAGGTTTTAGAATTTTGAGTGCCACATCCCTCTCCGACTTTTCAGCGACGGGTTTACTCGGAAAGCCGTCATGAGTTTGCAGCTTTCGAAACAAATCGATGACACACGCTGTTGAGATAAGTCGCAACGGTTATTAGTCCTTTTCCACTGAAAATTTTTATGAAAATCATTTGTCTCTTTGACAGAAATTTTACCAGGACCTTATTTCAGCGACTAAGTGATGTCGCAGATGCAAATATTTCCACAGAAATTCTTTATGTCAGATGAGGCGAATTGTTGCTGCGATTTGTTGCTCTAATGCAGGATATTCCCTTAAAAACCAATATAAACATGTTTAAGTTAACTTAATCAAAGCGAACTATTCTTTTTAGTGTCCAAGGTAATCTATATCGTACTCACGCAGGCGGAGAAAGATTCAATTTACTCTTATGATATGATTCTGGATCTTATAGGTTGGTATCGAGAATATCCGAAGAGCAGCTTCACTGAATGATAGTCCAACTTTTATCAAGGTTAGTGCGTTGATTGATACCATGTTTCGTTTTGTTTTCTACTATTTTTTAATTTTTGTTTTCTTTTCGAGTGATTGATCAACCTCTATCTGTCCTTCCACCTTGTGAGATCTGATAAAAGCTCTTGTTCTTTCTCTTTTTGTTGATAATTCTTCCAAGAACATGCCAGTTTCGCAGCCATTGATATATTTAAATTGTGTTGTATGAATTGTTTAAGTCAAAGTGTTCAAATCATCCAATCATCATTTACATCACTTTCGTCTGTCCCAAAGTTATGGAGAGGTTCAACTCAAAATGTTTGGAGTTTTTTGAACGAGTGTATCACGAAAGAAATCCGATATTTTAGCGTGGCCTTACAGTATTGCGGCAATCATTGAATGTCTCTTATTTTTCTTTGCAGGCGATGGCTGATGTTGTAAAAGCTCATTTGGATTCAGGAGTCAATTGTTCTCGCCAGCTTCCTCTTCGTTGCCCGATGTGTGTGAATCCTACCTGTGGCTTAGCCAAAGAATTTTTCCTCAACCGCACGTTGTAAACTGCGCTCAAAGATAAAGGAAAGGGCTATAAAATTGCTTAAACAACGCAAATGTTACGTTGATTCCAACTAGACTCTCGATCTGAACTTGAAGCCTAAGGTTAATTCGAAATATCTTCATCCAGTTTCAACAATGCATGGATCCCTTTCACTTAGGGAAGCTAGCTCCAGTTTTAAGTTTTATATCTGGCCTTTATTTGAGGGCCCAGTTTTTCACAGGCTGATAACATATCCAGCGGATAAACCGCTATCCAGCGGATAAATCGCTATCCAGTGGATAAATCGCTATCCAGTGGATAAATCGCTATCCAGCGGATAAATCGCTATCCAACGGATTTAGCTAAACGAACTTCGCTATCCACTGCATAGTCATAGAGATTTATCCGATGGATAGCGTTTTGTACCCTTCAAACAGCCGGATTTGATTCCCAATAATTTTTGTTGAAACCGTTTGTAACCCCCAGTATCCTCAACCCTGTTTGTGGTGTTAGTAATTAAGAGAAATCCTGGTCAAATTTCGTCACAAGTTTTCGTTGGCTTAAATCCTGATGCTTGTACGCGAAGGAATTTTGAGGAAAACCAATACAAATTAGAAGTGTGCTGATTACGAAACTTGTCATTTCACAATCTTCTCTTCACGGTATGTGATTAGGTAGCCTTTTTTCATGAATCAATATGAAGAACAAATGAATACCTTGAATACTAAGTGCAGCTGTAGATTAGCTGTTGGATTGTTTACTCCGTTGATATGTTTTGTTTGACAAGTGAAAGCATTATTCTGTCGTTTGTGCTGTTTCAGATTTTATTGCCTAGGTCCTTTATCTTTGAGTTGCCGCCGGGGCGGCTGCCTTTTATGCCAGGCTCAAAACCAAGAAATTTAGACATCAGAATAGGAGAATTATTTTAGAAACAAGAAATAATATGCTCGAAATAAAAGGCATATGAAACAAAGTGATGTTTTCGAGTTCTGCCTTCTAAAGCCGCCCTTTCCACCTCGAAGGAAAAAGGATTCAAGTTGAATCAAACCATACCACGACTGAAGTGAAACACTGAATACGCAATTCTTCAAGGTACTCAGGTCAGGTGTCCGATTAGAAACGTTACAGTGAGGTTAGGCCATCTTCACTCCTGGTTGGGTGCGTGGAGCAATAACCATGCACCTCTGACGGACTCAATATTTCGCAGTTTTCTTTATCTCCTTCCAGGAGATTTTACTCTCAGCGAGCTCTTCATAATGTCATTTTAACGTAGTGAAAGTAGCATTTAATTTATTTCTGTAAAATTTAGGTGTCACTTGTGCATTTGTCGCTGAGATTTGAAATAGTTCATATTCGGATTTTATAAAACACCTTAGAAAATCATCGCGAGCCCTGATAGCACAGCTGTGCAAATGAAAGGGAAGGCCATCAAGCCGTAACAATACAAGAGGAGCACTTTGTTATCAGCATTCGCTATAGATTGAGGAAAGTTAACATAACATCAGGTCCTCCCACTTCTTATTTACATCCCCAACCATAATACAAACGGTGCAATCAATTATTAAAATAACAGCTAAATGATTAAAGCGGTGCCGGTGACCTGAGCTCTAACCCCCACTTGAAATTCCATGTCTGTTATAGTATCGGTCCATTTGATGCTGTTATTAAGCTGTCAATAATTTTTTTCCTTGAAAATACGAGCTAGAACGATTTTTCGACCTTGCAAGTGTTAATCCCTTTTCACCGTTAATTTCCACTCTTATGAGGTATTTCGGTCTTCTTTCTGTTTGTTACTGATTTCTAAAACAGTCAGTTTGCGTGGTTTATCTGAACCGTTGAGAAACGAGCGTACATTATAGAGATCACTACACCTTTTTGTGTTCAATGGAGGTGTAAGTACGGTTGAAATTCATCTTGCACACTGTTCTATTAACACTAATGAAGAAGACAATACCCTAAAGTCGTAGCCAAAACGACACTCTTTTCCTTAACCACAGAGCAAATGTTTCATATTTTAATGTAGACATTTATTACACAGTTTCCCTCACTTTGCATTTATAAATTACCGTGACTCATCACGCGTCTATGCATGGTACGTTTTAGAGGCCTAAGACAGAAAGTTGAAAGCTTACAATTTAAATGAATTTTGACCAGGGAAAGATTTTATGCAAGATAATATTTTAAATTCAGAATATGTCTCTTAAAGACTCCAGCTGGCAAACCCAATCGCTATTCGCGCATACAATGGCAACAGACGACTTTTTGTTTAGCGAATAGCTTAAAGTCACTTGTCGCTAAAGGCTCTCTTTTGGTTACCGATGAAGGAGTAATTCGAGAGACTTGTTTAATCAGTTATTGCCTCTACCGAAGTTACTTCTGTCTCATGAAATTAATTTTTTACCTTAACAGATGATAAATTATCTCTTAAAAGTGATCAGTTTTTTTCCTTACACAATAACATTTGCACTCACTTTGGTCGTAAATAAAGAACTGCAAGGCCAATTTGTTGAACAAACGCATTAGCTCTTAGACTAGTGCTGCTGTTTTATTTGAAGTGCAATTTGGTATAACAAGGGAACAAAGAAACAGGAAAAGGGGAAAAGAATCTCATTTTTAAAAGCTAGAGAAGATCAAAAATCGAAGAGCTACGGTTTTTCAGACTGACTTGTTGTGTCTATCCTGTGAACAGAAGACCTGACTTCCTTTGTCAACTATGAGAAGTAATTCAACCTCCTCATTATGGTTTTAGCATTTGTGCTTTGATTAAATTAAAAATTAAATGACTGCTTTTTTTCTTGTTAATATTGCGCAGCCAGAACAATGCATTTTACCAAAATAATGAAATAAGATAACTTCTCGTCTAAAAAGCGGGCCACTTCTGTCCTAAAACCGAATTTATGAAGCTGGTCAGATATAATTAAATGGGTGTAAAGCAATGCTTACCATTTACAAAAGCGCATTTGAATTTTATTTACTTTGAATTCACAGAAATACCAGGGTGAAAAGGTTTAAAATTGCACTTAGAATCAGCTTTCAAAATCAAACATACTTCAACTTGTTATAACAATGAAAGTGTAATAGTCACAGCTGTCAGTATAAAAACTCCTCGTAATGTATACAACCAGCATCTCTGTCATTTAACAAAATCAACGTAACTCAATTCTATTTAATCTAGTGAGCAGCTGGTAAGGCCGGTGTATGTGGGTATTAAAGAAAACTTTTTTCCCCTCCTTATTTCAACAATTAGAGACAGAAAAGGTTGGCAATTAAGTGTAAGTAGAAGCTTAATTGAGCTCTGTTTGGTCTACCATACAGCTGTGCCTGTCGGCACGTAGGTAAATTAAAGAAAATTACTCTTCGCCAAATTTTAACGATAAACAAAGGGGTAGGGTAGCGTTAATGAATACCATTAAAAAGAACGAATATTTGTTCAATTTCCGCTTTCTCTAACCATAGGCGTTAAGTTTGATCTGTTAATGGCCTTCAATGATTAAAATTCATTTGAACGCAATGAAATAAATGTCCGTGAGCCAGAAAGCTTTTGCATTCGTCTTTGAACATCGCAAAATGATGTTCTTAGTTTTGTTACTGTTGGGGACGTCTGTTTCAGGTAAGGCTTAGCGCTGACCTTCTCTGAATCGGTTATAGCTTCTCTCCATGTTAGAAAATGCGGTGAACTTTATGTATTAGCAATGCCTCACTTCGCTCCTAAAGTCTTCGTTTGTAAAGTTCTTTGTTTCCAACTTTTCTTCCTATCATGATCGTTGATATATAAATTACTTCATAGATGTCAAATTGATGATTCCCAAACGATATTAGAGGAGTTATTTAAATTAAATTGCCTTATTTTGATGAATTTTTGTTATTGACCTCACTCGATCGAGGATTTTCAAGTTTACGAGAACTCATAATCGGCGATATATTTGATTCTCTCCAACAAAACCTTCTGCTCCTTTAAGATGACTGAATTAATAGAATACACTGTTGTTTCACAACAGGACAACTCCAATGTGGCTTCACACCCATCCCTCAATCACGTGTCATTGGAGGTCAAGATGCGAAGCCTGGGGCTTGGCCATGGCAGGTGTGATGTCTGTTCAAATCTTCACAAGCTGTTTGTTTCTGCCTCTAGAGATCAGAGACTTCATCCCACAAAATAATGAAAACTGTTTAATCTTAAAAAGTTTGAACGTGTCTTGTTGATTCTCATCAAGCTTATTATCCAGCTTGCAGACAGGGTCCCCTGAATTCCCTTCAACTGCGCGAATCGTATCCTTCATGAAATTTTTTAAAACTCATTCTTAATTATTTTGATTGTTTGCCATTTAGATCGCACTACAAAGATATGGCAGCTTCATCTGTGGAGGATCTCTCATTTCTGAAAATTGGGTAGTTACCGCTGCCCATTGTGTAGCAGGCAGCTCGTAAGTTTTTGCTCTTTTGCGCATGCCACAACTTTGACCGCTGTGTTACCAAATAAAGACATATCAACTCAATTGCAGACTCAAAAAATGACTGACAATTAACGTCGACTGATCAGCTTAAGTAGTCAGAAGGAATAACCTGCCAAATGTAACTGACTGCCTTTTGAATCAACCAAAATAACCGACTACCATCCGAATGACCGACCGACGAATCAACCTTACGAGGATTTAATTAGCAACTCTTTGACCAAGCAGCCGAGCAAACTGCTGATGCATTATTCACTTTATACTAATTCTTCACCCAACAAGCGTATATTTGAGAGTCCAAAATAGTGCTTAGCTTCTCTATCGACTGCTAGTCAATTATAAGCATAAGTTACGATCATGAATGAACCTTGTATTGTATATTTGTAGAAATCCTGCCAATTACAGAATAGTTGTTGGTGATCACAATCGGAATGTGAATGAAGGAACAGAGGAGTCTGTTGGCGCCGCGCAAATCATTTCTCACCCTCAATACAATAGTCCTGGTAGACTTAACAATGACATCGCCCTGATTAAACTCGCTACGTCTGTGAAGCTCTCTGCCAGGGTGAACCCCGTGTGCCTACCGTCTAGCGACTCAAATGTACCCACAGGATCAAAATGTTACATTACAGGTGAGGGTGGTCATGAGAGGTCCGCTTGTTTTTAATATATAGACCATGCAAATCCCATGCAATAAAAATGGCCCAACTCCTCTGTCGTAAAGCAATAATTCACGGGCATTCCAGTTGAGGAGCTGACAAGCCGGCTCGCTTGAGGAAAAGCTTTCCTGGCCTTAGTACTTTTTAAGAAAACCCTCTTTGCAACTTGTGGGTAATTCAGTAAGTTGTATATTCACTTATTTTACCTCGAACGGAATGTTTCGCTTCCAAATAACCGTCTTTCAGGTGTCTTTATTAGCGAAGGACCATACACGGTCTAAAATTCTGCATCACGCTATACTAGGCTCAAAATTTTCTTACGAGTTTCCTTCAGAAAGCACCGCATAGGGGATAACAGAGGATGTTTCTTCAAATTGCAAATATGGTTGTTTCATCATAATCGTGTTACTCCTTATAAGTTCTTTTGCAGCTCTTTTCCTTCCTGTTCACCGACTTTGTAAATGAACAAATACGAACACGACGGAGACCTCTGAGTCTGTCTTGAAATGCTATTGACGTAGATATAATGTTATGAACTTACCGCTTTGATAGGCTGGGGAAAAATTAGGCATCCAGGAGGATCTCATCCTATTTTGCAACAAGCCATGATGCCGCCTATCGATCCAGCAAAGTGTAGGCAGAAGATTCAAGCAAGTGGAGGTACATCAGAAAGTCTATATTGTAGATTTTTCATAAGCATAACATTTTCCGTCTTTCGCTTATTAAGTCTGTCTTTAGGTTTACCTGCAGAATGTGTCCACGATATTTATCAAAACGACAAATATTCTCGTTTGTGATGACAGTTTTAAGATAAAGACCAAGCGAACATTATACACTTAATCTGCCCGGCGTGCTAGGACAATTCGACGAAGTACATTTGCTTCAACCCCAATTACCGTTTTTCAGCTGTTTAAACAAACCGAATAAGATTGAAACGTTGGATCACTGACGGATCACTGAGTCAGAGTGGATTTTTTTCGTCGTTAATTTGGATTCCTCTTCCCGATGTTCGAAAAAGTATGATAAGCTGCTCTTACCCGAATCAATTGATAATTTTTTTCTAACTGAAATAAATTAGACCAGCCTATTTGAAGAGATGCTTTGCTTTAACCGTACTTCAGTTCTTTATCAAACCTATTGTGGCCCGCTTAAATACGAAATCTAAAATTCTTAAATCCTATAACCCACTATTCTTTGGTGAACTCATCGATTGAGTCGAATTCTACTTAAATTTGAGTCACATCTGTCATAAAAATCTGTCATAAAAATCGGCTTTTAAAACCACCTTTATTGCGCGGTGATAAAATCCAAAGCAATTTTGGGTTACCTTTCAATGCAAAATTCTTTCTTTTAGATCGTTCACGCTAACTTTGTATGTACTTATATTTTTGTAGTCTCAATAGCATTAACTCCACAAATGTTGTGCGCGGGCGTAGACAATTCGATTTTAAGTGGTTGCCATGGTGATAGCGGAGGACCGTATGTGTGCTTGAATGCGGATGGGAAGACATACACCTTGCATGGTGCAGTCAGCTGGGGTTCTTCCAGATGCGATGCTAAACAACTTTTTACTGTGTTTGCCCGAGTGACGCAGTACCGAGCGTGGATCAAACAGCACACTGGGATTAGTGGAGGAGGTAAGAAATAAGTTTTGTACCTTAATATCGTGATACCTAATCGCTGTGGTTATTCTTCTTGCTGGATTCATAGTAGTGGGGTATTAGACAAACGATTAAGTTCCACTTATACGATCAAGCAGTTTTGTCACATATCATTTTGGTATGTTTGGTACGTAAGGCATGTTTGACCATCAATTTATGCTGCGCAACAAACTTGATTTTGGAAATGTTTGATCGTGCTCACTTCTGACCGATGTGGACATTTCAACTTACGTATATTTAGTCGATCTAATCACTTGGAGATTATTAGCACTAACTTTAGAGTGCAGTAAAAACGTAGCGATTCACATTGGCCTTCTTTTTCTGGTATGTATTTTTTTGTTGATCACAAATTTTGCTTAGCAAAATGTTATTCATTGCAGGCCAAAAGGGCTGTGTAAAAAAAGAAAAAATATACACATCTTTCTATTTTTCCGTAAAGATTCAAATTATTCTTAACATTCCTTTTACTTTTATTACTTGAGGAGGTTGCACTGCTTTTTTGAAAAAAATTACCGTGAATTATTTTTGCAGGAGGGCCACCACCCTCTCCTCCCATACCAACCACGTCAGGATGCGGTAAGCTCAACATTTGCGAGTAGCTCATGTCCCAAATGCTTGATGAGGGGGTCATTAGGCTTTTTGGTGTAGCGGTTTTGGGTTTTTTCTAGATCGGTTTTTCGGTTTTTGTGCCAGAATATGTTGGTTTTCGGATTTGGTGTTTATTGCTGTTTGCGGATTTTCCACTTTTTAGCGTTTGGTTTTCGGTTTTCGTCAAAAAATACTAAAAGATTTTCGGATTTGGTATCCGATGTGGCATTTGGTTTTTCTTTTTGGGCTCCGGTCTCATTTTGATCTGAGCAGCAAATGTGCGCCTCCTCCGATCTGGAAAAGCCGCGAAACCTCTGTATGCTCAATTTGTCACCGCTGCATCGCATCGATAAGGGTTTTGATAACTGGGATGTGAAAATTTGTCGGTTTTGACGGTTTTGCATGCGGTTTTCGGTTTTGATTGAATTTTTTCGCTTTTTCTCGGTTTCGTGGTTTTAAATGATTTTTCTTTTAAATTTTTGTGACAGTTTCTAATAGACCCAATACCCCCCTCCTTGATCGTGAATCCGTCAGGCTAGGTCAATTGTCTAGACTACATTAGTTGAAGGTTATTTTAAGAAAAGTTATTTTCACTGACAAGAGACAAGGATTAGCTACATGTTAAGGTGTATAGATATTCTACTTTCAAAAAAGTCTGCATCTTCCTGTAAACTTTGCTCTGCATGTCTTCCCTTTTTTCTTGTTTCTTTCGGCTCACTTTTTGACAGCAGATCTTCTACAAATGCATTAAAACACTCACGCAAAAAAATGAATTGTTAAAAAATTGCAAATTTTCTGTTGCATCTCTTTCCAGGCGGTTCACCAACTCCTCCAGTGGCCCCTGGTAAGTTAGACAACTAAAGATTAAAAGCAGGGTGGATAACTAATGTTTTCCGAAAAAGTTATTGATGCGTGCCAATCACCATAAATATGACGAGACCAATGCTATCCTAAGTTAGCTTGGAAACCTAACCAGTGTGAAAAACCCTGCCCTCCTCTTTATTTCATAATCAGAAAAAGCCATCGTCAACTGGGTTACGGTTATGGGTCACAGTTATGCTAAGATGTATGCTAGATGATTTTCTCAACACCCTGAAAGATTGTCGTGTTCAGAAACATACTATATCAACCATAACGTGAAAAATATAATGTAACAATACGTGTTATCAGACGATAATAATTGTGAAATGTTCATAAATGTTCGTACATACACAATTACCGAGGGTATAGCGCACAGATCTTGAGGCAGGTATAGCTCATGAAAGTCAAGGTTGGAAATTGTATCTTCACGTTTAC